AAAAAAAAAGAGGAAAATTGAAATATACTAGGGAAATATCAATTCATGCAGATTGATTAATAGATTGAAACCTGACAACAATTGATCACAGTCTAGGCACTTCTGATTTCCGCAGAAGTAACTCGGATGATAGGAAATGCTTTCAAAAGAACAGATCAACTTTTCGGTGAGCCCTCTCCCCATCTGCCTGCTCCATGCAGGATTTGGAGAATAGGAAATGAGGTAGCTGATTGGCTATCTTTTAAACAACTACAATGCAACTTTGACAGAACTTAAAAATTTCCAACCAGAAAGCACAATTGATCGTTAAAAACAAGGCGGTTAGGAAGATGTGGGCCCTATAGGTACTGAGCATTGGTTAGTTTGACTGAGTCAGAAGTCGAACCGGTGGTAGAAAAAATTCGCGTAACATATTGAAACATATCAAAATAACGGGGCTTTTGCTATGAGAACTAAAAACTCTATGGGCCTACTAGCTCTGCAGTAAACGTACCTGCCATATAATAACTTAGAGGAGGCGGACAAAACACAGCTGTTCGGCTTAAAGGGCAGTGGGCAAATTTTTTGAATACAAATGATGGTCGTTAGTAAACGTCTCTGACGGTTGGATACACAGATTGTTGAGGATAGGTAACAACGCCTTGTGTGAGATATTCCGGCCGGGTGACAATTACTTCATCGGTATGATGATGGTGGTGACCTTGATGGACCACCACTGGTTGGGTCACATACTGAACTCGGCTGGTTTCGATGACGTCCTGATGATGATGATGGTGGTGATGATAGTGATCACTGTCATGTCGATGATGATGTTTTGGGCTGAGAATCACTATGAAAGCATGTATTATTCCCGGTATGAAGAACAGCAAAGTCAGCAAGCAGTTCAACCAAAACTCTCGACGGCAGCCGCGATCGAAGAGTACAGCAAGGGGCTGAAATGAGCATTCTGAAATTACAAACGAGGGTCAAATGTATGTGTCAATCATTGCTGCCAGAACTGGGCAGACATTTTGGGACTGTTTTTGGTTATAAGCACTGATTCGAAGGACCACCTAGTGGCCATATGGGAGTCTCGCTGGGAGCTAAATCTGTTCGACGCCTCTATATGGGATTCGATCTCATCGACGGAGACATTTTGCATAGAACAAAGCTCCCTCCTCAACTGTTATCCTTTCTGACTTACAACTGGTCAAAAACCAATTCCTTTCCTCAGTGTCATTCACCTAAACTTGCCTTGGTTGTCGCCCAGTGGTTTGCAATGCTCTAAACGCTCCCCTTCCACCACTCCCTCTGATCTGTCCCTATTTTGCCTCTTTCTTAAAGGCACAGTTCACGATAGTTTTGGCCACCCCTTTTTATTCAGAAACAACGGGAGTATAGGTTGGGAATGGTCCGTTGGTAGTGAAGAAAGCGAGAAAATTCGTCAATTTTGAGGAAAATAAGGCACCTCAAAAGTAGAAAAAATAAAGGTTGGACCAGATTACCATGACGGAAATAATGTGGAAGTGGTATCAGGACGAAATTTCAGTTGTTGCTACTGCGCAAAGAGCGGACTACATCGAGCCAGAACTGTACAGAACTGCCTTTCACTGTCGCTATGGGTCATGACAAAATGTTTGAGCCTCCTGCATGGGTTGTCGTGAATGGTGCAGTTTCAGCAGTGCCGGTGAAACTCGTCCATGCATAAACACGAGCTAATCTTTGAGCCTTCATAGCTCCCTAACTAGGCTGTTTTCCGACTGATAGCGCCGCATGTGGTATACGAGGGGGCCTCGAATTCATCGAATTGGGAGAAATTCAGAAAATTTTTATCGTGAGCTGTGCCTTTAGCGTAACCAATAACTGTGAAGACAAGTGGCCTAGTAGTGTTGTACAGCAGATAACGTTCGGGTGTGGTTGATGGACCAGGAGATACCGACCGCTTTGACACCACTTTTAAAAGCAACGCTAGCAACCAATTTCTCAAGGATTTATTAATTAGCTTTCGAAATCTTACCGGAGCGAATATGGCCAAACAGCATAGCAGGAATTTACACATACCGAGTGGAGTGTTCTAAAATAAGAAGTTTTGACAAAACCGTTCATCAGTAGCTCAGAAGCAGCTCGATAGAATGCACAATAATAGTGTAAAAATGTGACGTCATAAGAAAAACAGTTGGTTCAACAACTGTGAGCCAAAGTTCTTAGGGTAATCATTTTGACGTCGAGGTGGGAGCAAGTTCGGTAGGGGCATTCTTGAGATTTGTCCGGATCTGCACAGCGGTCATCTAATCGAACTTGGAAATACTGCTATGATTAGCAAAATTTATAGAAAAATTGGCTAACAAACAGTAAACAGCAGACAAATAACTCTCCTTATCAACCGGAGAATCACTGAAGGTGAAAGATAAAATATGACCAGAAAAAGGAAGCTGCGAATGCACTAAACTGCTTTGACGTTTTTTTTTGTAAGATTTACCCAATAAACATTTGTTTGTTCAACTCGATTAATTAACGATTATTTAACGTTTACTGTGGTGAAGATGTCGGTGGGTTGATAACAAAACATCGATATACAATATAATACTACCGTACGAATACGAAAAACACTATGGGCGGTGGGCGCTCGAGGTAAAACAAGCAAAGGTCTAGTTCCGTCCCAGCCGATTACGCACCACATTCTTATCAGTACTTTATAGCAAGTTGAAAAGCGGACTTATCATTAGGAGCGGTACCTACGAGTGAGAGTTTTATCTAAGGTGAGTCAGCTCGTACCCGGTTGCACGTCACTGTCTTTGTGTTAAGCCTTTTGCCGAATTACTAGGAAAGGACAAAGATCAATTATGACTCTGTCCGAATAAACGAAGCATTACCGGAAGGTTCCAGAGTTTTTTTAGCGCTAATCGGTTCTGTTTTTGGGATGGGCCCCACATCTGACTTCTATTTAGAATCGTAGTGACGAATTGAATGGTTGTGTGGCCTGCACAATGACGTGATGGAGGGCAGCTGATGAGCAGGACAGTGCCTTTATCCTGTCTGATAGTCTGGAACCAATTAATCGACTCTGAGGTGACGTATGGCTTCTTTGGCCTGGGATATTAATAAGAGATCCAATCCTAGACTATGTGTGGGATGGTGAGCCAGTTCCTACACGATCCTACCGGACGGGTGGGCTCCCTCCTCTTTTCCCTTGCTACCATTTTCCTCTAGTTGGTGAGGCAATGTTCATTTATTACCCGTCATTTATCTTTTGACAAAAATATACGGCCGAAATAGCTTTCGCTCAAGAAAAATATAAAAGCACCACGCTCTCAACTGACAACCAGCACAAACGGAGCAGCTGTACAAAATAAACATCGGCAAAACAAACAGAAAAGATCAGACTGAGACGAAAAAAACATGAGAATAGCAAGTAATACAGCCTTTCTACAATGAAATAACTTAAACTATAAAACTATATACCGTAATATTTTCAGATATTTTCTTAATATCTATACAGAACAATAGCAATACAATATTATTGATTATAAGAGAATACAATAGGTTAATCAACATCAATACACATTTACCCAATCATAAATGCCCTAAACGGTCAACTGAGCTCTTGGAGATTGTGCTCTATAATCATCATAGCATCATCGCTAAATATCTGGATACATTTTTCGCATACGCCAACGGTTCGAATCTCACCGCGTTTGTTCCGAATGGACCAGTTTCCTTCGACGTACTCGCATTCAACGTTTCCCAGGATATCGTCAGCATCGATTTCCGTCGGTAGTTCCAGGGCGATGTACTCGAATGATCGTCTGCATTCTACCCAATCCTGAAAGCGATATTCGTGAGGCGACGTATTTGTACTGTATTCATACTGAGTAGGTTTCAGGCTATTTCACGAAGGCATGATCTTTATCAGAGCTCAAAAAAGAAACAATGACAGGCTTTCGAACGAAAAAGCAGTGCTCGGAAAGGCAATGTTAAATAACGAGGTTTCGCCATTGAACACCCACACATCACTAATCTGACAGTGAGTGAAGAACATGGGCAACTATGTCAAGCTCAGAACCACCTGCTTCTCAACTTCCTTTCCTCTTTACACTTACCTCTACGAACTGCTTGATGGCGGCAGTAGTGATGTTGGTGCCTACGACGGCTAGCCATTCGTTGCGTGATTCTAATAGGTAGTTGTCGGATACGTTAGCAGGCAGTAACATTCCGAATCGGTCCAACTGAAATAGGATTTGCTCATGTTCAAACGCTGGCGCAGAAAAAATCTTCATTAACTGCAGAACCAATCTGACCGAAAAGTTCAACTCCTCTGCTCGCACCGTCTCTCCCTTCGCTAGATAGGTTTCTTTTGAAATTCTACTATTATGAAAGGTTCTTTACCTTCCTGATAGTTGGATGAGCAGCCAGCTCACTAGAGAACGTTTCTTCAACAGCAATCGAATGTACAATGGAGAGCTCAAATGCATCCATCACTTCGACGAGGTGAGCGAACGAGGTAGCATCGATGGAGATTTGGCATTGGGAGAGGCTCAGTCGTTGGACTCGTATTCTATTCCGTCGCACTGCACGTTCTAGTGAATACAGGAACGAAGAGGTAATTTCGAGCTAAAGTAACAACAAGTACTTCTTTCGATTTCTTTTGAACTTTGAGAATAAAAATCAACTGACGAATGAGATAGTTAGGCCGCCAATTTCACCGTTTTTGAAAAGTTTCACAAACTGCTCTTCATTGTACACCATATGCGTTTTGCCGTTGGCTTCCTGGCATGGCTGAAAAAAGAAGAATAAAATACGAAAAATGCGTATTCACGTACTAAAATAGTAAAGCTTCTTCTTACCGGATGTAGTTCAACCTCATCGAACAACCTCGGTGGGAACGAAAAACGATGACCTTCGATGAGTTCATTCATAGTAGAACAGGCAAGGCGAGCGTTGAGTAGGTCTCGTACGGCTAACTATAAACGCAGTAGAGCGACAAGTCAATAGAAAAGAAAACTTCCAAGAAAGAGAAATGGTATAATAGGTTAAATCAGATGAGAAGATAGTCAATTCAACGGAATTACCTTGCTCAGTACTTCCAACCGTAAATCGTAGGGCAGGCTAAAGAATGGAAACGCATCGCAGTTGGACATAACTGATCTGAACATAACTATGAAATTATACCATAATTTCATTTAATTCCATAGTAAAACACTANATAAGGCGTTATTGGGGGCAACTTTTGGGACTTGTTGAATGAATACGGTTGTAGCCTTTGCTGTAGAGCCCAATAAAGATAAAGAGAGCCCATGGGTAGGCTATATCTACAAACGTAATGAAACAGATAATAAAGAGGGCTGGTGAGGTCTAACATGACCTTTTTTACTCACCGAGTAGCCTACAACTGGTCACAATCCTTTTCGGAGAACTTTCCAAATGTGTTAACACCAAAGGCTGATGCCCTGGTTGCCTCTTTCTCAGCACTAGACATGTCTGCTTGCTAGGTCATTCACAAAGCCCATATTGGGAGTAAAGTATTCGGTGAAATATACAGTTCAATGTAAGACGTACACGCATCATTGGGCAGCTTTTCTTGCACAACGGTTCTGCAGCCGAGCTCTGGTACTGGGTGAGAAGTAGAGTGAGAGTGCCTGATTCCAACAGAATGAAGCCAATCCGCATTCTGCCTACAAATCGATGAGCTTCTGAAGGACAACTTCGATGACAACATCATCTCTCGTGTGCTGTTACTTCGACAATCACTCAATTCAACTCTAGCAGATTACTATCTGTGGGGCATGTCCGCACATCATACAGGCATTCCAAGGTGCGACGGCACGGGACAGTCGAAGCCACCCTTCCGATTTTCTGCCCGATGTCTTCAATCCCTTGTGGGAACGTATGCAACTGTGCCATTGAGTTCAAGGTAATCGCTTCAAGCCTCTCTTATAAATCCCTTCATTGAAATGCGGGAATTGTGAACTGCATAGAAACATATTGAAAACTTTGCACATAAACAACTAATTGCCCACACCTTCCACTACACCGACGTACACAATTCGTGTGAGCAGGGTAGTGGTACTGCTGAAGTCATAAACTAACTACAGACGGAATACAAATACAAGGAAATTTTATTTCAGATTAGCCTTTTAAATAATCACCATTGTGTGCAAATACCGCATGTCTTGGAGCAGTACGTCTCTGCGATGTTGTAGAAGTCCGGTTTGTTGCACATTCCTGCATGCTTAGGGCCCAAGCAGAACTGTTCACCTCCTGCGTCAAAACATGGCTGAAAACATCACACTTGAAACTATGTTGATGATTACGGGAGGGATCCATCCCTGCTAGATTGCGCCATGCATTTGACAACCATGTGGGACGTCATTGAATTTTGGCACTGACTGCTGTATGGCATGGGAATTGATCTATAAATTAGTGTAATCCATAAATTTGTGACTGGTCTATCTGATAACCTGTCGTGAAGATCCACATGTTTTATCTCGCAGAAGGGCCTGGTGTAGCTGCATCGTTTCACATAAGGATGAAAGAGGAACTTGTGTCCGTATAGATGTTGGATTTGATTCTTGAGGTTCTTGTGCTACACTTCATTGCCCACCGCTCTCTCAGAGCAACAGAAAAGTGAACTTACAAAAGTTGCTGCTTCAGATGTGAAGGCGTTGAGCAGGAAAAGAGCGCAGACGATGTAGATGAACATATCGAATTCTGCTAAACTGATGTTGGACAGTTGGCAGTTGGCCGTATTTATACCGTTTTATCAAAGAGTTGAGAACAAAGCCATTGTGATGGATGCTACAGTGTTTTCACAGTCAATTTTGTGGTTGAAAAATGGGTGCATTTCGCAAATATTGCGAAATGCACTGTTTCACTTCCTGAATTATTTAATTGAAAAAATATGTGACATTATGTTGCACGACTTGTACCAGCTGAGTAACCATGGGAGAGAAATGGACTTTGATTCCTCTGAGCATAAGATCCACCGAGTCAATCACCTGAAAACTCAACTTCATTCTAGGGCTGAATAGGCTATCCAAAAAAGCTTCAGGGGATTCTATCAATTCTTCTGAAACATTGATCGGAGGCCATCTAACTTTACCCAGCCACAAGTATTACTGTATTTTCTGAAGGCAAGCAAGAGTGTTCTAAAGACGGTTTCAAGCAGTGGCTTTGTTTCAGCGCATAAAAGGGATTCCTCTCTTCCTTCGTGGCCACCTTACATCCACATTTCATCTCTTTCAAACCATTCTAGTGCTTATGGTAACTATATCGATGGAAACCTTTGAGGTGCTGCTTCTTCCTCACAGATCGGGGTGTATCTCCTATCAAGTTGACTGCCAGGTACCTACTGCGTGTACTGTTGCTGTCAACTGTCATACTTACAATAATCGTAATCCATGTTCAGATTAAGAATGGCCTAGACATTGGTTATAGTTTGAAATAACACTATCAAGGTCCCGGTAAGTATCGATTAGAAGGGTCAAGGGAATGACGAATCAATCGGCAGGTACCTAGTTATTGGTGACGGACTTCCCACAACGCCAATCATGTTTTGCGAATTTCAACAGACCTACTTTCATGCCCTTTCCTCCCTAACTACCACCCCATTTTATCAGAAATAGTGATATCTTCAGTCTAAACATGTTTTGAACGAAAGATATCCTTGAGGAGTAGGTTCATGCTAGTATTTCTCTACTTACTTTCGTCGTCGGCGGCTGTCTTCTCCAACACCAGTAATGGCGTCGACTGGCTGTAAGTTTGCGTTTAGAGTTAGTGAGAATCAGAGAGCCTGACTGTGACCCTTGTCCATCGTCGGATGCACAAAAGTACTCAGAGTGGTAGCAGTGGCAAGGGCTTTCAAATAGCATCTTTGGTAGTTTTTCTTTCAGTTAGGCATACAGGTAGATAAGAAGTAAGTCCCAGAATTTCCTAAGATCTTTCGTTACGTTGGCTTCGAAGGGTCACACGTTCTCAAAAGAACTATCGGAAATGTGGTCGGGAAGATCCTATTGTGTATGTGGACTATACTGCCAGAGAATCGACAGACAAAGTTTCGCATACCCACTGATGGACAGCAGATCGACAAAGGAACTTATTCAGAGAAAAAGGTACCTACCCACACGAGGAAGGTTGAAGGGCTCCCACCCTTCTATGATCCGGCTCACCGATGTAGATGCTCTTTGGTAATAAGGGAAACAAGTTCCCTCACCTCTCAGTGCTATTTGACCGATATAGTACGGTCAGTGTCTATTGAAAGACTGACTCTCCACCGTTGCCAAGAACTGAACTCTGGCAACTCTCGTAGGGTTGCCAGAGTTCAGTTCTTGGCAAAGAAAGAGAGGCAGTCCTTCATTAGACGAGTTTTCTGCAGTGTTAGTGGAGATTTGTCGGAGGACGACTTGTAACACGACCTACCTCCACTGCCTCAGTTCATAGAACTACCTTCGGAACTCTACTGAACGGTCTGTTTCGCTGATTATGATACTAGTAAGATAAGGTACCGATGATTGATACCAACTTTAAGCTTCTACATCAAGTAGTTGTGAGCGGTTACTCTGATCTAGTGGGTGTTAGAATCCATGTGATACATGTACGTGGTAGAGGATGGGTTGATTTGTGCCTTGTCGGAGCTCCGCGGTCGCTGCAACCGCCCACGTCGCGAAATCCCAACGGGCGATTGGAGCGCGTAGTGTCTCAATAGGTGGTTATGACCATTGCTAGCCGAGATCGAAGAAATACCGCCCGCGAGCTCGCCACCGTGGGAATCCGGGCACAAACTCCGTTACACATGAGGAAGTTCCTGTACATAATGGCTACTCCCTCTGTACGTATGCAGTGCTGATGGAGACGGTTTCGGAATGGTAGGCTCTGAAGTATGCTGAAAAGATCAGTAAAGGATATATCTGTTCTTCCAATCCATTCGTAATCGGATCGTTCTGCTGAGACCACGGTTCTCACAGTGGGGCTGGCTCGATCTAACCTTATCATTTGTATTTCACTTGTTGGCGCGTCTTATCACTGGAGGAGCTTGATAAGACTGTTTCATTTTTACCTTCTCATCAAGGGAGAATGGGTGGCTCTACAGCACTGAAGTTTCTCAAGCACAGAGCAAGTATCTCGTCAAGGAGTTCCCTCTTCACAAGTGGAATGAGGAGGAACGCTTTGTACGGATGCAGAGGAGGATGGCAATCGTTGGAGGATAATTCTGTAACTTCGACAGGTCTAAAAAACATGAAGTCAACACTGAGCTGCCAAAACTGCAGTATCCGTACGTTGCCTAAATGCTATAGTTACATTGTAATTGCATATTAAGATTGTGAGGCAGCATCCAAAGCTTGTGCATTATGTTTGAATCAACCATGGAATAGATATACACATAGTGGGATCCGCTACTACAGTCACCTCTTCAAGACTTTCATGATTCGTGTGGCAATCCCAGTAGGTCGTACCAGGACCCTTTGCTTTCCCGTATACAAAACGAAAGGTCAAAGTCGATCCCACCTGCTCTAGACGAGGTGAACGCCCTGGTGTTCCAACTTAAAATGTCAAAAGTGCTTCATCGGAAAATCTATGCTAAAGGGTGGCGAAATAACTACCTGAATTTGTAGTCCAAGCTGCAGTAGTTTTGCGGCAGTTACTGCAACCTTTCAGATTCCAAATTCCTCTTCTCAAAGCGCGCGATTGTGCGCGATCGCACGCGGCGGACGCGACGCGGCTCTCGGGGAGAAGTACCCACACCCAAAAACCTGCATCTTACATGAAAAACTGGTGGAGGCATGACTCGGTTTCTATGGTCATGCTACGGTCTCGAACGCTTTGGTAGTACTGTGAGGTGTGAAGACTGGCGATACTTGAAGTGTCCTTATCATGCTAAAGTTACAAGGGAAAAGAGCCAATCGAAAATTCGATAGATTCATGCTTTTTTTGCATAGTGTTCTATACCCCTATTAACAACGATTAGATAAGGATCAAAAGCTGAAAAGAGCTCATAGACATGTCAATTTAAGCAAATCCATGCGAAATGTTGGCCGACGTCTACAAGCAACTCATTAACATGATTATTGGAATGTTTGTAGATCAAGGAAGCCGTCTTTTTGCAGGTTCTACAATTGAAGGAGTGGATAAACAGGTATGTGACAGAAAACAAAAACAAACATAAAAAAATAGAAAGAGGCATATTTAAGGGAGCACGGAATGGGTTGCTTAACCTTTGTTAGTGAATAATGCATCAAAATGGGTCCCATGGCCTGCTACCTATAGTGACAATACAAATATTACAGGTTGAGGAGGCCTGCCGATGTCTTAACCTTTCTGACGATGTTCTTCGTAATGTCATGGCAGCTCTCAAGCAAGGCATGAATCAAGGTGTCCAAAAAGGAACACGTGGGTTCTTATTTCGGCCCCCAACCTTACAATGTGAATAGTTACAAGAAAGAAGCTCAGAATGCTCTCTTAAAGAACACGAAGACCTTTGCGGGAAGTTCGATGCGTACTGCAGCGACAAGTCTAAACAGACATGTAGGCAGGCAGGCAGACAAGCATAAATACATATATACATGGACATATTCATGGATACATACATGCATACATACATATGTACATAAATACATACATATACATACGTACACCTGTACTGGTAAACACTTGGTAAACAATAAACACACGGTAGCACGCTAACACTAAACACTTCCGAGAGCTGACCGTTCAGTGCGTTGCTCCATCTGTTGATGTTTTTCAGCAATGGGTGTTGGTCTAAAAATGATTCCGTCTTATGTAAGAGCTATTCCTAATGGAACAGAAACTGGTGACTATTTGGCGCTCGATCTCGGAGGTACCAACTTCCGTGTGCTTCTGATTCGTCTTCGAGGAAAAGAGGCTGAGATGGTCGCAAAAATTTACGAAATCCCGAGTTCAATACAACGAGGAACTGGTGATGCTGTAAGTAATCGACTACCTATTTTTAGAGGCTTCTACACCTATCAGGCAGACATTAACCACTTGGATCCCTAGATCCTGTACCTGTCTTTCTTAGGAAGTTATACTGTGATATTCAGGCAGAATTGGGAAAATGACGGTAGGATAGAGTGTCACATCTCTGAAAGCATGCCACAAAACGAATTAGGCGGTTTGGGATAGTCATTGCATTGAAAGAAAGAGGAAATTAGGCGATAGCAGGGTATAAAAACAAAGGTAATACCAAAAATCAGCCCTCCGAGAATCTGTATTCTCGTGGTAGACTTCCGCCTTACGTAGGGTCAACTTGAACGAGTGAACTGCGATGTCAATGAAACCCCCAGATAATTCCCTTTGTGGAATATCAAAAAGAATTAGATCCTTCTCCCATGTGTTACTCTAACTCACTCCCAGCCGTTTCCATTTTAAACCCCAGCTGCAAAAGCAACATCAAAAAGAAACGCTGTGATGGATCGGGGGTTGAACTTACTAATTTGCAAGTCTCTTCTAGGCTATTCTGACTGCCGCACTGGTTCATTCTTCATTAGTCACGTTTCAGCTATTCGACCACATTGCCAACTGTATAGCGATGTTCTGTGAAGAACAGTTCGGTAAAGGTCACAAGAAGAAGCTGCCGCTCGGATTCACATTCTCATTCCCCTGCAAACAAGATGGACTGACTAGGTTATTCTGAGCGATGTCACGTGGCAGAGTATAGACCTGGGTAATCTATGAGTTTTTGGGTTTGATTTTTTTCAGAGCCAAGCTGATTCACTGGACCAAAGGATTCAGTGCCAGCGGTTGCGAAGGTCACGATGTAGTACATTTGTTGCGAAAAGCAGTCAAAAGGCGTGGAGTGAGTTAATTTCGACGAAGAATCACTCTTCCCCCGAAGGCGCGATCGTAGAGGATACCTACGCAATGCTTATAGGTCTATTACGGGTGGTCCGAAAAACATGTTGCCGGGGGTTGAGTAGTGTCAAAGTAGAGGTTGTGAGTTGTTAGGTTTGAAACACTTCGTGTGAGCCCATTCTGGGGATTCTGTTCGACTGCTGCCGCGGGACAACTAGCAAGGGGTCGCGACGAGCTTGCACGAGCAATTGCGATATCGCATTATTCGGCTTCCGTCTCAGCGATGGTAATACTTCTCCTCGTATTCCCACGGCGAGCAGTATTGGTTCGGCAGCGGCTACGATATCCTCACACAAAACATTGTAACGTTTCTTTCACAGCGCGCGAATGTGTACGATCGAGTGCGGCAAGCGATTTCCGGGAAGCAGTACCCACCCCCTGGTCTAAGAGCCCATTCTTTAATTCCTTTGTTAGTCAAAAAAGTGCTGAATTCCTTCCAAAATTCGAATCCGAGAGAGAACTTTAATCTGACAGTGAACTGAATGCCGGCGATTTTGAATTAACGATTTTGAAGGATATCGAAATCGATGTGGTAGCTCTCCTGAACGACACCGTAGGAACGCTAATGGCATGTGCGTTCAAAGAAAATAGCTGTCAGGTTGATTACTTGGTGTACTGTACTCTTATATGTCTCTAATACTTCTATCTAAACAGATTGGAGTAATCGTTGGAACTGGTACAAACGCCTGTTATATGGAAAAATTAGAAAATGTACCCAAATTGAAAGGACAATGGGAAACCGATGGTGATCCACCGATGGTAACCATTGCTGCATTCGTCGTGTGACCATCATTACATTAATTTTTTTACCTTTTGAATACAGATGATTATCAACATGGAATGGGGAGCATTCGGTGATGATGGCGCTATAAATTTTGTGATGACAGAATATGACAAAACGGTTGACGGTAATAGTATCAACCCAACGAAACAACTGTGAGTCTCCTCTTGATTTATAGAAAATGGGGCAGATTCCACTTGCTTGAAGGTGAAACGAATCGAAAGGATATTGAAGAGAAGGCAGAGCCCCGGGACTGGGTTGTACACTGCAAACTTAGACAGATGATCTTAGGTGGAGGATAAAGACTTTCGTCCCCAATCAATCCATTTGTCGGATGCGCCCTCGCGTTAGACCCCCATCCAGAATTGGGCCGAGGTAGAAGGCGATGCTGTCATACTCTTAAGTGAAGGTGGCACCAATTTAATGATCTTACAGAGTAGGACAGCGTGGTTGGTTTGAGCGGACTCCATCCCTGGTTTCAGTTACAGGACTTTGCGCATGTAGTAGTTCGCCTCTTGTCCCTTTTACACCTCTATAGCCTAGGGGGAGCGTAGTGGCTGAAGTTGTGTGGCAGATGCCGATTCCCCACAGTCGCGTGCACCATTCGGGAAAGTGCTGATAGTGGTGTTTGACAGCGGTTGAAATTGCAGTTACTAGTTACCCATTGGGAAGACACCGCAATCTTGCAAATCTGGAATAAACACCTCGCGATCCAACTCCCCTCAGAACTACGACACCGGGGGAGGAGGAGCGGGGTGGTCTTCACCTGGGCACAAATTTGCGCAGTATTCACTTGGGCACAAATTTGCGCAGTACTGGGGTGTTCTGACTCCGTGAAAGAACATCCTTTTTAAGAGTTTCTTAAGAGGGAATCGAAGAAAATGAATAGTACTTATACCAGGTTTGAGAAAATGATCTCCGGTATGTATATGGGCGAACTGGCACGTTGTGTAATGGAAAAAATGGCAAGGAAAGGAGTTCTCTTCCAAGGAGACGCTGAAGGAATCAGTAAACGAGACGGCTTCACCACCAAACACGTCTCCGAAGTTGAGACGTGGGTTGTTTGTGGGATCGATCTCCACCTGGAGTTGGCTTTGGTCTTCATGCACAGCGTTCCCTACTGTGGTGTAATTGCCTGTTCGGTTTTTAGTGAATTGGAAGAAGGTGGAAAAGAAAAAGGATTCCCAAGAACACGTGAAATTCTCCGAGAAATTGGTGTGAAAAATATCAGTAACGAAGATTGTCTGAATGTTGCGTATATTACTCAATCAGTCAGCACAAGGTAGGTTTCATTTTGAATTTTGAGTCGGACTTGATATGAATGAAACCAACCCTTAGGGGAGGAAGCAGCTCCGATCCCGCTTGCTATGGCCCCACATTTCGTCATTGTTGGGGAGGTTTGGGAGGTTTTGCTGCGATTCCGACCTTCATAGCTCAGATTCGAGAGCTTAGGATCGCAATAGTCATACCCACTACTTCCCATATGAGAAAATTGAAATGGCTGGAAGCAGCCTCTTCTTGAAGATTGCGAAGCTGAACTTTTCTGGATCAGTACCCTTTCTTTTACACCATGCTGGTTACGAAAAAATCTTTCAGAGCAGCCTACCTGACGGCGGCAGCAATCGCTCAGGTGCTTAATCACATAAAGAAAGATTTTGTGGTCACCGTAGGCGTGGACGGATCTGTATATCGTTTTCACCCAAGCTTCAAAAAACTACTTGAACAAAAAATTACTGCCTTAGTAGACAGCGGTATTAAGGTAACGATTACAATTTCCTATTTCGACCCCTATCGAGCTATCCAGTTAAATCAAATTACCAATTTTAGTTTCAACTTATGCTATCCAAAGATGGTAGCGGTATCGGTGCAGCTGTGGTAGCAGCCGTCGCGACTCGTATTGCACATGAAAAGAAATCAGCATCAAAATCGAGATCGGATAAGAGCTGAATTGATTGATGTCTCAGCAAGATCTCTTTTTCTTGCTCTTCAACTCACGGAAAACCCATTGTAATTACTAGCAATGACTATGCGGGTCACGCAATTATAAATTATTCGGATTGCAATTGAACGAGAATTCTGTGCTTCCAAGAGGTGAAGAAACTAGAAAAAGTCACACAAAAACGTAGATTATTGAAAAAAGCATTTGAAATTGTAAACTTATCCATCATTTACGGCATTATGTTAGTGGATAAGAGTTGTGGGTTTAGGATCCTGTGTTCACGAAGAGATGCGTAGCGCTGCCTCACAGAGCTCGCTTACCGCTAGATGACCGTCTTCGAACGAAGTGGGAGTTTCAAGCGATCCCTATATACTTATGGTGCTCCTTCTCGAGCTGTTTTTGACGCATCCCCTGACGTGCTTTCAGGAGACAAACTTCCTTTCTAGTTAGTAGTGTCTGAAACCATAGGCAAAACGATGACAGCGCTCTGTTATAAGTTGCCACAAAGCTACAACAGCGAAGGCTTCTGCAGTAGCTCAGAGTATGAACTGTTATCAAACAACAATTGAGAAGACAAGGTAGTTTTGTGGACGTAATGCTTGTTTTCTTCATCAGATTTGGGATCCACATCCAAAGATCAACAAGGATGTTTCAAGTGATTCATGTGACAGAAAGGCTGCAGGAGTTGAAAGCGGTCAATAATCGAAAGGGCCCAAATAAAACGTAAACATAGGTTTCAGTGACAAAGTCCCGTTTTGTTGTTGCAAGTGGTGTTTCCAGGACAGCTGGAGCATGTGTGGCCCGGATTGTAGATGTTTTCACCGATTACGTTGCCACTGAAATTGTCCCATGAGCGATTCCAACCTCACCTACTTGTAAGATCTCAATGGAAAATTACCCAGGCCCATAGTGGCACACAGCAAATATGAAACCATCGCATCGGTGATGACCACATCCCAGTCTGACATTGTTGTGCCATGCCATCTTAAGTAACAAACAGTTGGATCGTTCCCACAAGAGGAATGGACAGCGAATGATTACCTTAGTAAAGTGGGTCACAATCTGTGTTTGACGATATCGAACTTCTGAAGTGAATCGCATCTCGATATTCACTCCATACAGGGACAGCTCTTTCCACCATCTGAACGATGCCTTAATGGAACGATTACAACTGCAGTTTTTTACTACTGGAGATGATCACAAGGAAGTAAGGCTGTAACTGAAGATGATGTAACGCTGGAGCTGGCTTGGCATGCCCACCAAATGGCTTTTCTGTGATAGCAGTCCTACTAGTGTATAGAACAAAAAAATATATTGTGTTGGATTATACGGACTCACTGTTACCCTGATTTTGGGCTAAGTGGGATGGGCGTGGTATATAGAAAAGGGCGGGGTCTTTACAGAAAGACTTCCACTGCACCTCGTTTCTGGCATGTTTCTGGTATTTGGTCGTGGATATGACACAGATACTTCCCGTTCCGTCAGTAGTACACGACGAAACCCTGACTTCTAGCATTAGTACTAGGCTTCCCGCAAAAAACGTACATGTTTCCCAACATCCGTGTCATTCAAGTAATTCTTGAAAAGCTTGATAATGTTTTCTTTGAATCCAGGACGAGTTGATTTGTCTGATAGCTCACCGGAGCAAGTTTTCGCATGCCTGAGAGCGGATTTCTCAGCAGAACAGTCGTAGACCTAAAAGAAATACGAAAACTATTTGATGAGCTGCTTCAAACGCTTCCGGAAAAGTGAAATTAAAAAATACGACGGAAAATTAGAAGCTTACCATACCATTTTCTGCATATTCTGAGCTTCAGGTGCATAGCCAAGCAGATTTCCGTTGAATCCTCCTCCTCTTGCTAGGATCGACCTATCAAGGACAAAACTGAGTAAAAGCCAGTGCAATATACTGGATATTCTAATTCAGCATTGGTACACGATAGTTCAGTACAATTTTTTGTAAAGATATCCACAATTTTACCGAAAAAGCCGTCTCTCTTCGTATACAAAAATCTGACTTATTGCAGTGGGGGGGGGGGGGGGGTCTGTGTTATGGGCGAAGACCGTGCCCCAAGTACACACCGTTTACCCGATTCAATTATGGCATTTCTAAATATTACAAGAAAAGAGTCGTGTACACGGCGCAGATCATGCAATCTAAAATTACCAAAGAACATAAGTTACCTGTACTCGTTATGCTGATTCAGGTAAGCGTCACGAGTCGAGTCATCTATTTCCCGATTACCACATCGATTTTTGGGCACTAAACAGTTCGAAACCAGGTTGGGAATATTTGGGGTCCGAAAAATTAAATAACTTAGGAACTACGTATGATCTAAGGTCCTTATCTGAACTGAGCAAATTTTCGAGCACTGACCTTCGACTCGGAATCGCTGAGGGGGAAGAACGCGTTTGGTGCCATTGTGCTGAACTATAATTCACGTATAATACTGAAGTTCAGAATTCTGGTCCTATTGGTTCAAGAAAAAAAACCTTCAAGAATGTTCAAGAACTTCTTTTGCGGGTTTTTACCATACCCTTTTACTCTTCAAGAACCCACACCTACTAAGAGAATTACCACTATGTTTTGTTGGGGCTCGTTCCAGGGTTGAGTAAACAGTCGTTTTCGTTAATGAAACAATGTCAAGTACGATTCATCAGGCAGAAAAAGAAACAAGTTCCTCAAGAATAATCTCATAATATGATCTATGAAGTAGCAATGTACAACTTACTGCTATTCGCTCTTCCAAAGCAGAAGGACACCAAAATGATCTGAAAGCAGATAGCAGAGTGAAAAGTACGATAGCTTTCTAATTGTAAGAGAGGTCCTAATTTTACCAGTAACGACGATTATTTGGGACCAGACTACGGACTTTTCATCGAGAATTAATGAATTTGAAGAAAACTCTCGTTTAATGTTTCCTTAAATCTGTCTGCCTTCCAATCGTTTTTACTCGGGGCTGGGAGGCGGCAAAGGTTATTCGAAAAAATTTTCTTAAACCCTTCGAAAAGCTGATAGGCTGGTTACATATGTGCTCTATAGATACGCAGACAGACGTACGAGGACATCGAACTGGGTTCTCTTTGGTATCATGGATTCTTGATGAGAAATCGTCCCCAAAATGACCAGCAC